ATCTTCCTTGGTGAGTTTTGTGAGGTTTCTGCCGCTTCTTTCTCCTGCCTGTCTAGGTCCCTCTGAAGGGCAGCCCTCAAGCATATGTCTGGTCTCTCCCTTGCAGTTTCAGGTCATCTACAATCATTGTAAGTGTTGTCTCCTGTGTGTCACTAATGGAGATGGTAAAAGGGTCACATTCCCAGAGTCATCCCTGTTGCTCCATTTCTCTCTCGATTCCCCAAGAGGGCTACCCATTCATCACTGAACTCTGAGCATGATCTTTCTAACAACTTTTTATGCATCAAGTTGCCTAACCCTCTAGATGTTAAATCCATCCAAGTTGCATGCAAAAATATGGGGGAGACGATATCAAATGCCTTGCTAAAGTCTGGATAAAAGATGTTTGCTCTTCTCCATCCACAAATGCACTTACTTCATCAGAGAAAACCATGTTGACTCTTCATCTACATGGCCCAGAAATGTGATGTGAGAGGATTCACTCCATTGCACGTTCCTCACCAAATTGAGCTTGAACTGCTTGCAGGTCCCCATGTAGTCCTATGGGCCTTTTACGAAGAGGGATGTAACGTTTCCTTTTTTCCAATCACTGGGACCTCTCCCAATTTCCACTAGGCTTTCAGAGATGATAGAGAGTGGCCTTGCCAGAGTCAACTCTAAAAGCATCCTGCTATGCTGCTCATGCAGTGCCATTGATGGTCATTGTACAGTTTGAATTCTCATGCATAGTCCCTCAGTAATCTCAAACTCTAGTGGTTGTTTTTCTCCTCAGTCATGACTCGACACAAGAGACTGGGAAACCTTTTGGGTGAAAACAGAAGCCAATTTCTGATGTGCAGCCTCTCCTCCATCTCTTGTACATAACTTTATTGCCCTGGTGCTGAAGTTTAAGGTCCCTCTGTAGCCAGGTTGGTCCTCTGAGATGTTTACCACCTTTACTGAGCATCAGGGTGGAGCATTCTTGTGCTTGGTGGGTGCTGCCCGTAAAGACTTGCTGTCTTTCTGGAGTCCCTGGGCCCTTCAGAGATGACTGCCTTGGGATCTCCCAAGTGGACAGACTCAAGTCTGCCCCTCTGAAGGCCAGAGTCTCTACCCTGCTTCTGTCCTTCCTCACTCCACTTTTTCGAGGACACTGTAGGCAAGGCTGACACTGGCTATCCCATCACTGCTCACTTCCTCTTTGTTTGCAGTTTCTACATCTAGGAAAGCCTTTGTGGCCCACCTGTTGCCTCTGCTAGGAAATATTCCCTGACACCTTCCAAAACCCTGCTGCAATCCTCGCACTCTGATGAATGACCTTTCAGGGCATGTCAGAGAGATTATACTCTCCCCATAAGAACCAGGGCCTGTGAGTCACAGATTTCCACAGGATGCTTAAAGGGGTCTGTGTCAACCTCACCCGAATCAGGTAGTCCATAACTTCCATCACAGTGTTACCCTTATCCTCTGATACTCACCCCCTGATGCACATGCATAAACCATAATACAAACTCTTGTCTCCCCAAGCATGGAACACCTTGTATCTGAGGTTCTCCTTCACACAAAGGGCATCCCCCCTCCTCCTTGTCTTCCATATCAAGCTCTCCTGAAGAGCTTGTACTGTGCCGTCATACCCTCCAGTTGTTTGAGTGATCCCACCATGTGTCAGTTTCTCTAAGAAGCTTTCAGCCCTGTGAGAGCTTGTGCATCTCCATCTGCTAATGTTTGTGCTCCAAGCTTCATTCACTTATGAACATATGGGCTGCAGAGCCTCTGCTGTGGCACAGAGTGTGAAGTGATCTTGGGGAAACCTGTTCCCACAGGCCAAGACCACCGTGTGTGCAATGCCCCCACTTCAGAGCAGTGACATCCTGGCATAGATAGCAGTTGCCAATGGAATAGTGGAATGTGACTCTCCCTAACAGAGCAAATGCTGCAGGACCTGAGGCCAGGGAGAAAGAGAACTGGGCTGTTCAGAAACGGCAGGACAGGGGTTGCTGCCTGAGCTTCATAGCACCTTGGGCCATGTGACAGAGGTGAACCAGTCTCCAGGTAGGATAAGGTGCTGCTGAAGAAGTCCCTGGCCCTGCAATCCAGTCACTGTACAGGACAACCTGTAATATAGTCACTCTGTGGAAATCATCTGCACAGGCCCTGGTCATACCATCTGTGGGTGTCAGCAGGTGTAGAACTGAGAGTTTGAGTTGAGAATGTTGCAACTACAGTGCAGGCCTTGCTGTGAGGTGCCTCTCATGCATGCAGCATGCTTGGCTGTAGATGGGATGGATCTTGCCTAAAGACAATGTTATAATTTAGATGTTTGGGCAAATGTTGGTAACCTGGGATGCTGTGGGGCACTGGCCCAGCAACTACCCAAGAAGAGAATGGCTTTCCCATATGTCCCATGCTGCATCTGCTAAACATATGTGGTTGTGCTGGACAACGCAGACATTAGACACGGCCCTGAGGACCTATTTTTATGTCAGTGAATCAAGTGTCTGCATTGAATTACAAAGGCTATTTGCACTGTCAGAATCTGCCTGTGTCTCAATTTTCTAGTGTGTGGAGCCATAGCAGCAGCAGTAGGCTTCTAGAACAATTGCAGATAAACAAGAAAATTGCACCGATTTATAATAGGAGCTTGGACAAGGAGCTTGCATGTACACAATTCTGTGCATTTGTGGAATTCGTGGGGCTCTAAAACAGATACAATATGCCAAGTCTGACTATCGGAAGCTAGATCTGAACGCTGGGAAAACGAGCTCCCTTCTTGTTCCTCTTTAAAGGTCCAGTGTCACTAAGAGATAGGAAGATATGTCGCCAGAGTGGGGCATTTCCACCTCTTGTAGTTAACCATTTCCCAGTTTGACAAATTGCAATGTTGGAATCAGTGTGTCTGCACTGTTCTGAGAGAAATCATAGGGTGACCCCACTGAATGCTTCCAACAGGGAAAAATTTATGCCTTCAGCAGGGTCTCTGCCAGGCTCCTGGGATGGAGGGAACTTGTTGAAATCTGGCAGCACTGCCAAGAGGCAGCTCCGTGTAATCATGTGCTCCTCCTCCCCCATCTCCTCCTCATGTGTTCTTCTACCTCCAACTCCCAACCTGACCACTCCATAAACAGTACATAGGCAGCGACTAATTGAGCAAGTACCAACTAAAAGCCATCTAGTATGCAAATATGACTATGAGTCAATCATCTTTCTTTCCTCCCTCCACAGGTAGTGGGCAGGCACTGGGCACTGGCAGGCAGCCCAGTGCACACTGAGCTCTCCTTCACAGCAGTGGACTGTACTGCAGAACATCTTCTTGAGCAGGCACCCGTCTCAAGGATTCTCCTTGAGGTTGAAAGATTCCTTACCCACAACAGATTCTCAGTAAGTGATTAACAGCATGTTGAAGCTTTGCAAACCTTTGAAAGTTTCCTTAGTTGTATCTCTGATTGATTGTGCACATAATCCTGAAGATGTAAAGTGCTGGCTGCATCTGAGACTAGGATTGGACCCAACCAACCCCAGGCTCGTCTGACGAGGAATTTGGAAAGCAAAGGGGTCCATTCTGAAACTCATGATTCAACAAGAGGGTCTCCTTAATGCTTCCATCTGACCCTGTTCTTCCTGCAGTACGTAAGTGAGTAAACCTTGCCATGGTTCATTTTTAAAATCATTATCTTATTTATCATGAAACTATATTAAATCACTGTTTCTTATCTCAGTAAAATATATTACTGCTTCTCTCTTATGAGAGAACTGCATCATTCCTCACCATCCTCAACGCTCTGCCCAGGAGCAGCTTCTTGGCAAAGAGTAACAAGGCTCCAGGCACTGCCTGCTCTTGCTGCATAAGGTGAGAGAAGGCAGAGAGATGTGAAAGGCAGTCTGGAGCAGGAGGACACAGGAGAGCTCTTTGTGAAATAAATCTTCACAGTCTTTTGCGTGGAAAATACTTGGTTGTAGATTAATGCTACTGAGGTACCTGGAGGAGTCTTCTAAACTCATCCCATTCCATGGCTGTTTTTTGAGGATGTGGTCTGTGAGCACTGAAAAGGGAGAGAGGTGGGAACAGAGAAACTGCTTCCTACAGGGACAGCTCCAGGCAACAGAGTCAAAGTGTGGGTGGAAACTATAAATTTCAGAACCTCTTCTCCTCTCCTACTCAGCACAACCCTCAGGCCTGTGCATCATGAGTTATTTCTTTGGTGGCCGCATACCCAGAAGAGGAGAAACACCAGAGTGCCTTCCTGTCTCTCTATGTCCCTGCCTCCCTTGGCAGTAATATCATGTCATTGCTCTATGTCTCCCCACCTGTCTTACTGCTCTTTTCCTTTCCTTTGGACTTACTGGTGATGCAGTTCAGACATTGTACTTGTGGCACGTGCCATGCATATCTGTCCTTCACAATGAGGTGACCAAGACCCCTCCCTGACCTGTAGGGTTCTGGGCAATGAACTGTGGAGTGAGAGGGACTGTCTGAGAATGAGCCAACTCTCTCTGCAGGACAACCCATCCGCAAGACATTTGACTCTGAAGTCTCTTTGACATTTGACACTGCACAGAAAGCAAAGATGGGGAGGGATAATACCTGCTTAGGTGGGGAGAGCAAAGTTGTAAGATTAAGAAGCACTGCTCAGAGAAGTCTGTCCTAACTTGTCAATGTCTTTCTTTTCCTGCACAGTCCCCATGCCCCAAAGAAGCAAATGTTCAACAGAAGCTCCTTCAATGATTTCCTCCTCCTGGCATTCTCAGAAACACGGGAGCTGCAGCTCTTGCACTTCTCGCTGTTCCTAGGCATCTACGTGGCTGCCCTACTAGGGAATGCCCTCATCATCACAGCAGTAGCCTGTGACCACCACCTCCACACCCCCATGTACTTCTTCCTTCTCCACCTCTCTCTCCTCGATCTTGGCACTATCTCCACCTCTGTCCCCAAATCCATGTCCAATTCCCTGTGGGACACCAGGGCCATTTCCTACTCAGGATGTGCTACCCAACTCTTTCTGCTTGTGTTTTTCATTTTGTCTGAGTACTTTCTTCTCACTGTCATGGCCTATGACCGCTTTGTTGCCATCTGCAGACCCCTGCACTATGGGACCCTCCTGGGCAGCAGAGCTTGTGTCAAAATGGCAGCAGCCGCCTGGGGTAGTGGTTTTCTCTGTGCTGTCCTGCACACTGCTAATACATTTTCACTACCACTCTGCCGAAGCAACATGCTGGGGCAGTTCTTTTGTCAAATGCCCCAGATCCTCAAGCTGTCCTGCACAGGGTCCTACCTCAGGAAATCTGGAGCTATTGTGGTTACTGCCTGCTTAGGCTTTGGATGCTACATTTTCATTGTGGTGTCCTATGTGCAGATCTTCAGAGCTGTGCTGAGGATCCCCTCTGAGCAGGGAAGGCACAAAGCCTTTTCCATGTGCCTCCCTCACCTGGCCGTGGTCTCCCTCTTTGTCAGCACTGTCATATTTGCCCAATTGAAGCCCCTCTCCATTTCCCAACCAAGTCTGGATCTGCTGCTGGCCGTTTTGTACTCGGTGGTGCCTCCAACAGTGAACCCTCTCATCTACAGCTTTAGGAATGAGGAGCTCAAAAATGCTAGAAGGAGACTGATCCAATGGGTATATTGTCAGCAGCAGTAACTGTCTCAGGTGCTGCAACTCCCCATTCCCAAGATATATGATATCTAATCTATGTGTTTTTAATTTCGCACCTAAGTTAATTTTTCTTTAATGCATTCCTGGGAAATGGAAAGATTTTGGTTCTTGCCACTTTGTGACCAACCAGTAAACCTTTACCATATAAAAAGATGCAGAGGACATGGACAAAGGGTGAGTTTCCCAGGAAGCTACAGTTATGTAGCATGTAACTCACTAATCACTGCTCTTGTATGGAGAACTGACTTCATTCCAACACACAGGGCACCAGAGGATGACCTTCATGTTAGAGAAGCAGTTATAACTCTTGAGTGGATTAACGGATGTAAACGTTTCTTCTTGATTTTATAATATGAATGTGAATATCTTCTTGAGATTAGCCAGATCAGCATGAAGGAAGTGTATTTGTGGCGCAGCCCAACATAGGGCACAATGGAACACCTGAACAACTAAACAACTAACAAAGGAATTTTGCAGAGAGCAATTGGCTTGTGCTGACTTCATCCTGTGTATTCCTTTCTGGCAACTAAGGATGCCTAGCATTGTGAACATGAACATACTGTGCACACTGATAACAGCAATCACATTGGCATTGCGACTCAACTGTGTAAGTGCATTTGTGATTTCTGTACATCATGGAATCACGCTGCCAAATCAAAATCCCTTGTAACACCAACTCTCTTCAAAATAAACTTGTTCTATGAAAGCTATGACACCTCTCTGTATGTATGGAATATCCAGAAGAACCTGCTCAGAGACTCTCACAGGCAATTACCCAGTAATCGCTCCTAAAGGGCATGGTTATCCTGTGGGTCCCATGATCTATCTGCTAAAACATGCAGGAATCTCAAGCATATGACATGATGATGGTGGACTATTTTTTGGTCACTGAATCAGGTGTCTACACAGAAATGTATTAGCTGTTTTAATGCAGAGATCTACATGATTATTTTAGTCTGCCTCACTGAGCATCAGCTTGGAGAAGAGAGTACAAAGGAGAAATCAAGTCATCCGTTGAGCTGTGCCACTGTTCCCAAGTGGGGCAAGGCTCTTGGGATAGGGTGAGCTCATGGCAACCTGGCAGTAAAACCAAGAAACAGCTCTGTCCAGGAGCAGCTCCTCTGTGAAGAGCAGCAGAGCTCCAGGCACTGCCTGCTGCTGGTGACATGGGATGAGAGAAGACAGAAAGGGAGAGAGAAGTGAAAGGATGGAGGGATAGAGGCGGGCTTATTATGGGAGAAATCTGCACAGATCTTGATGCAGCAAGTCTCTGGCAGCAGAGCAATGTTACCGGGATGCCTGGAGGAATCTTCTTAAATCATCTCAGGGTTGTAATTCAGAACAGTGTCCTGTGCCACAGGGTGCTGTGTACCCAGGGCAGGGACTCTGATGCTTGCAAGGGTCAGTGCTCAGCCAGCCTCGACATTTTCTCATGAAGCATCAGGGAAAAGCTCTTCTCTCAAACCTGCTCCTCAGGACTTGAATGCACAGAAATGTCCCTGCCCAGTGCTCAGAGCCAGGGGGTTTCAGGAGAGCACAACTGAGCACACAGAAGATGGAAGGAGATCATAACATCAAAGCATCTCTGTGAGTGCTGGCACGGAAAAGATGTTGGGACAGAGGAACAGCTCTGGGCAGGGACAGCTCCAGGCAGCACAGAAGGACAGAGAATGAGAGGAACTAAGAGAATTGTCAGCGGAGGATGGATTTGGGCAATCTATGGCCAGTCCTCCTCATGCAGACATTTTCCTCTGATCAAGTCCACCACACCATCTCTCCCATCCAGTAGAACCTCTGCCCTGTAAGCCATGTGGTCGAGGGCATGAATTGCCTTCTCTGCACTCACAGCCCTGCACAGGACAGGCATGTGTCTCCTGCCATGGGCCTATTTCATGATGCCCAATAAAGAGGTGGAGAGCGAATGCCTTGCCACGTTACTGCCTGCAAGGCAACATGCCTAGCTGGGGAAGATGGAGGCTTTCCTGAGGGCATATCTGTCTCTAGTGCTCCTTATTCCCCCTCTTCTCCAAGCTGATCCTGTTTTGCCCTTGAGTTCTTTGGTTTTCAGCCGCAGTTCAGAAAACTGTCCTGTGAGCTGTGCCACAGAGGGATCTGTGTACGAATGAGGTGGTTCCAGTCCCCTTCTAACCTATCGGGCTCCATGATCCATGGAGCCTCTCGAGAGAGCATCTTGAGTACTTTTGACTGTTTCCCTGTCATGCTCTGACAGGTTGTGAGATGCCCTGCACAAAGGCATCAAAGCACAATGGCAGAATAGGCCAGATCCTGGAGGAGTGTCTCATCAAGGTGAGAAACATCAGGAAGCCCTCCAGTGCCTGGAGGGGCATGACCTTTCTCCTCTGACTTTTGCAGTGTTTCCTTGTGCTTCGTGTGAAAATGCCAAACCAATTTCAAACCATATCTCCTGTGTGCTGTTGGAATGATTACCCATCTCCTGTTCCTGCTCATGTTCAGGCAAGAACATATTAGTGTCCTTTCCTACAGCTTTCCAGCATCCTTTCTAATTCCTATTGCACCCTCCAGAACACTTGCCAACCTTCCCTTGATCATGGCTGTACACGTGAGAACCTCCATATCCCAGACACGTAACGGAAAAAACACAGAGCACTATGGGAGCAAGGACAAAGCCCTCCAAAACCCCACCAGGCACACGATTCACTGTGGTCTACATAGGTCCCCCCATAAAAAGAAAAAAAAAAATTCACCCAGACAACACGTTCAGGACACATTTCTTTCATGCAGATCTCACAGAAGAAATAAAGAGGTCCCAAAGCAGCAACTGAGAGGCACTTGTACTTTGATGCACGTTTGAAAGGGTTGCTCATAAATGGCTTTCCAAGCACCCTTCATAAGAACTGGTAACACAAGGTTGCAAAACATGCCTTAAACAGCTGTTTGCTTGGCCAGCCAGGGGCTAAGAAGGAAACATACTCACTCAGGAAAGACAATTACATAACTAGAGAGCGTCTGCGAAAGAGCAGTTTCAGTGCCCAAGAGCTCTGAATTCCTCACCTTTGGCATCTGCAAAGGAGAGAAACACATGGGACATGATGCCAAGAGAATTATCTAAGTGCTTAAAAGGGAAGCAAATTTTTCTACTGCTTGGAGAAGAAGCTGCCTCTGAAACATTCAGTTCTTGTATTCCCATCAGCAGTCTCTCAGTTATGCACCATTACAACTGGGGAGAAACAAAGGAGAAAGGGGAGGAACATGCTCAGGCCTTTTGCTCAGGATTCAGAGACTCAGTTAGCTCAGGTCTCTCCTAATGCAGAAATCAAGGGAGGCAAGCACATGAGAAGACATTTCACAAGCTGGACCGCTGTGTTTTCTCTGCTGTCCAGACCTAATGCTTCAAAGAGAGAGGAATAAGGTCAATAGATAGTAGACAGAGTCGTGTGACATTCCCACTGGCCTAGGCAAATGTATCCATGAGGAGATCAGGCCAAAATTCCAAAGGGACTCATAGAAATAGTTTTCAAAACCTTAAGAGAAATGGCTGAACTTGCCGCCTTACCATGCCAAACATGGCTTCAGAGGCCATCCTCACAAAAAGGGGCACTAAAGCATGGCTTTTTGCAAGGAGGGAAGTCTAATGGGAGAAAAAAAAAAAAAAAAAAAAAAACACACACAAGGCCTCTTCTTGTCTTGGCCTTCTTTGCTGAGAATGTGCCAACTGTCTTCTGGGTTGTATTAACCTGTGGGTGGACCCAGTACACAGGTTCATCTTCACAGCCAAGTCTTCTGAATGCCCAAGACAAATTGTCTAGGGTGCTGGCATTCACTGTCCATGTCCTTCAACAGGTCATGGCAGGCTAAGAGAATTGCATTCCCTTGGGAATTCAAAAAGGTGACAGGTGTCATGGGAGAAATGGAGAACTTACCACAAGAAGAGCCACTAGCGTGTGCTCAGTCCCATTAAGTCTTTTCAGAAACTCTTTGTAAAATCGCATTTTCACACCTGCCCTGTCAATTACAAGCATGCCAATCTTCTTGAGTACAAACATAACATTCTTCCCCCTCTTGAGGCAGCGGCAGAAAAGACGCAGGGTCTCTTCCATGCCAGCCTCCACCGTTTTGTGGTGAAGAAAGATATTTATGGCTATGCACGCACATTTCAGGGGCTTGGAAAGATTGTGACCTGGGATGCAGAAAAAGAGGAACAAAGTCACTAGAAGAGCACACTAAAGCACAGCATCAGGAGCTCTGTGGTCTTCAACAAAGGCATTCCTATGGAACTGTTTTTTTTGACTTTCTAGGAAGAATCATGAGGGAAGATGTTCAAAGCACTCTGCAATCAGATGTGCCCAGTGGAAACCATCTCCTATGAATGTGTGGCTCGATGACAGGACAAGGAGAGGAGGAAGGGGGCTAGTTGCCTTGATGTTTGCCAGGTCAAAGGACTTGGGCCAAGCTCAGCCCATTCCACACCACAAAAGATTTCACAGAGCCATGTTATATGGATGAAAGAAAAAAGAAAAAAAAAAAGAAAAAAAAAAGAAAAAAAAAGAGCCATCCTAAGAAGTTGCCATGCCAGAGAAGATGTGGAGTCCTTGGAAAGGGAGGATGGACTACAAACACAGCTCAGAGCTCCTACTCCCCCACACCTATCACCCATGTCCGCTACAGCTGCAGTGTTTACAACGATGACCAGCAATCACAGCTAAACCGGCCTCTGAAATGTGCGTGCATAACCATAAATATCTTTCTTCACCACAAAACGGTGGCTGATATTTCAACAGGAAGCACAAGGAAGGCAAGAGCTAGAGGAGAAGTTCATGCCCCTCCAGACACTGGAGGACTTCCTGATGTCTCTCACCTTGATCAGACACTTCTCCATCATTGGCCTATTTGGCTTTGAAAATAGAGGGACTTCCCAACACCTCCCACTTCCCCTGTGTCCCCTCTTATTCACACAAGGTGAAAAGGAAGTGTGGTGCCCCCCGCCTTTAGAGTGATGCCTTTTCTGCTTTCCATGTACAAGCTGGAGAATAGATCGAGAAAAACACCAGGGGCAACTGTAAAGACGAGGCAGGAGGAGGAGAGGAGAGGAGAGGCCAGCACTGCCCAGAAAGGAAAGGGAATAGCTGGTTCTTGGTGAGGGTTGTGCCTCTTCCTTCTGTGCTCTTGGGTAGGCTACTGGAGCCCAAGGGACAGTGTGATGGCTCAGGTAGCATGAGGCACTAGAGGTGATGTTGCTCTCCCAATAGGGCAAATCTCAAGTGAGTCCTGGGGGAGCAAGACCTCAGTGCAGCACAACACTTCCACCTGTATCGATGCCTCCAAGTTCAACTTTTGCCCCGTTTCCATGCCCTGGCATCACAGATATCCCCATAACAATGCATTGGTTTTGATGGTGTCAACAGAGGAACTCTAGGCATGTGAGATCAGTAGACAGATCCAAGGATCTGCTCCCTTGCCTTAAATTATCGCCCTCAGAGAGACTCTTTTAGGCCACAAATCCGAGCAAGTCTCCTTTTTTTCCAAATAGGACAGAGAGTGAGAAAAGCGCTACCCCAAGAAATGATGCTGTAAAGTACAAATGACAAGACAGAGAGAAGGCAGTGCCCAGAATGGCCAAAGCCCAGCCAGGAAACAAGGCTCCAAAGGAATCATCCTGATGCCTCACAGTTCAACCTCAGGCTGAAAAGAACTACATAGCCTTCCTTTGCAAGAGACATCTGCAATGCTGTCCTGGATGGCTTTCTTGTCTTCCGCCTACAGGAAATGTTCCTGCCAACCACCTCCTGTCACCAAAAAGCGACCCACCACCCACAATTTCTAGTACCAACACGCTAAAAAAGCAGGGGAGGAAACCTGAAAGAGAAGCCACTCGTGGCAAGTGAGACAATTGGAGGAATGGATGAGGGCGACTCTGTACCCTTGTGCTTGTGTGTGTGAGACGCTTCCTCTGCGCAGCAGGTTCAAAGCTGCTCTGAGAGTTTTTGATTCCATGCAGTAGCTCAGACTGTCAGATACGGTTCAATACATTTTCCAGAATAGGGTATCTGTGTCCCTTCCATCCACATCTCCATTCGTAAAGAACCTTGCTCTTCTCCTTGCTGCATCAAGAGAGAGCATGTACCCGGGAATGCAGAGCATTCCAGTGGGAACATCTTGCAGCTCTAGACATTTCTGCTGCAGGTGATCTTGCTCTCTCTTCATGTGAACATAGGCAGCTGAGCCCACATCATTCATGGCAACAGCCAACAGAACTGCCTTCAGCTGCAGAACCTTGTGAGGACAGGACAGAGACCAGGGTCCCTGTGTGCTCAAAGCCCTTCTCCATGATGTCTATTTTCAGCCTCTTCCCAGCCATCCACAGCACATCTTCCCAGAAGCCAACAAAGGACAGGAGGAAGGGCAGTCCTGCAGCCATGCCCCTAGTTGAGAAAACTGAGAATAGGGTTGAGAAGAGGGTGGAAGAAATATGTGCTACTGCCTAAGATAATCTGTATGCCTTGTGGATTTGTGGGAAAGGAAACTCACTTTCATGGGCAGTGAGTGGGAAAGATGCCTTCCTGAGGCTTCATTTGGCCATTGACTGACATTGTCATGGCTTTGCCAGAAAGGGTCATGCTCTAGTTTTGCAATACATTTGTTGCTACTGCGTTCCCAGGAAGGACATGAAAAGGCCCTCTTTGGCTCTCGTGGGAAGGTACCTGCTAAGTCTTCCAGGGATAGGGCATGCACAGTTTGGGTTTAGACCTGCTAGGATTACCTTAGGAGCATTAGAGGGTTGTCAGGAAGGCTCAAGTAAAGGCACAGAAGAGTGAGTGAGAAGTCATCTTCATGCACTGGAAAATAACAAATGCCAGTCCTAATCTTTCTCATTTCTTTTCTGTGCCCCCACAGGCCTGGCAATATCACTGTAGAGTAAGAGGGAAAGGGACTCATGCCTTTCCTCCCATCTGAAGCCCTGGAATGATTTCTCTTTCCTCTGCCTTTTGCTGAAGAGACTGTAGGGAATTCCCTACGCAGGGTGTTCTCCTGGTGCCATGGAAACTTAGAGCAGTGTGGAGAATCAGACCTGAAACTTCATGGAAGCTGCATCTGATCTCGTTTATTAACTTTTAATTAGCAGAATATATAGCCCAAGCCATAGCAACAGAGCATCATGTAATAATATGATTGGTTATCCGCATTGATCTGTATTGACATTTATGGAGCTGATAGGTTGCCATGCCGGTATCCAAGTGCCTAACTGCAAGATTTAAAAACAGTATCTCAGCCCTAGAAACTTCCTCAAGTACAGGAGGTACTTCCTTAAAAGTTGTTTACCGAAATTCAGTGATTCTGCATGTCAGCCTTTTCAGTCTGGGTTAAGGATGGTCAAAGGCACCCCCCTGTACAACATCCCCCTACAGAGACAAGGAAGGAAACAGAAAAGAGCGAGAAGCACACTTTTGGGAAACACTTTGGAAAAAACAAAAGTATTTCCTGAGACACATTTTTCCCGAAACATGTCAGGGGTTGACCTGCTAAAAAACGGTTCTGTGGAGAGGGATTTGGGAGCCGTGGTGGACAACAAGTTAACCATGAGGCAGCAATGTGCCCTCGTGGCCAAGAAGGCCAATGGGATCCTGGCCTGCATTAAGAAGAGTGTTGCCAGCAGGTTGACAGAGGTCATCCTGCCCCTCTCCTCAGTTCTGGTGAGGCCACACTTGGAGTACCGTGTGCAGTTCTGGACACTCTAGTACAAGAGGAATATGGAGCTTCTAGAGGGGGTCCAGCACAGAGCAATGAACATGATTAAAGGACTGGAGCATCCATTGTATGAGGAAAGACTAAGTGAGCAGGGCCTCTTTAGCCTGGAGAAGAGAAGACTTGAGAAGGGATCTTATCAATATGTACAAAGACCTGAGGGGAGAATGTAAAGAGGATGGGGCTAGGCTCTTCTGGGTGGTGTCTAGTGACGGGACAAGGGGTAAGAGATACACATGGAAACACAGAAACTTTCATCTCCAGATGAGGAAGAACTTCTTTCCTGTGAGGGTGACAGAGATCATGAACAGCCTGGTCAGAGAGATTGTGGAGTCTCCTTCTTTGGAGATGCTCAAAACCTGCCCAGATGTGACCCTGTGCCCCATGTTCTAGGTGTCCTTGCTCACTAGGGGGATTCTACTAGATGATCTCTAGAGGTTCCTTCCAACCTCAACCATTCCGTGCTCTGTAAGAGGAAAAGGAACCATCAGAAATGGAGCTTGTGGTCCACGTGAAGACACAGTCTTCCTAAAGTCCCACTTAGAGGCCCACACTGTCCATCTCTGTCCCTTTTTCCTCCCAATGTAACACCCTTTTAAGAGACGTATCTCTGCCTACAAAGGTGTGAATTAGACGTTCTGCCACACCATCGGAACACACAATGATGAACACACATTCATAGCAACTCGCCTGCTTGAACTCTGCTCTGCAGTGCCTGAGTGGGCTGTGAGGAACCAGGGGCTCTACCCATGGGCTGCAGAGTGCTTAGTCCTTCTGTATAGACTAGCTCTGATGTAAGGAATTTCTGCCAGGTGAAATGTATTGCTCATTCGGAAGGATCTTTCAGCATCTTCATGTCCAGTTCAATGAGGTTTTGAAGAACAGAGTAACAGAGTTTTAGGGATTTATAGATATGCATATACATATATTTATATATATTTGTATACATGTATACATACACACACAAAAACATTTATATATGCGTTTTTTTCTTGTGGATATAAATGTTTCTGCTGAGAGGAAGGGATTCACTGACCCTTGGTGCAGAGTGAGGACAGCTAGTCTGTCTATTAGCTTTGTCCCAGCTGTCTGGTGCTTCCAGGTCTTTCCACTGGAGCGTGATCACACTTATCACACACCTGAAAAAGAACCCAGCCTCTACTGAGTGCAGAGGAATCCCGTTTGGAAGTGCAGATCTTCAAGCTTCCCTCCCTTTCTCAGAGCCCCAAGGGAGGCAAACACACTGCCCTTCTAGCCAAGGACACACAGAGTCTTTTCAGCTGCCCATATATAGCCTCTCACCACCACTTCCACACTCCTTGCATTTCGGTACCTTCTTGACAGATATTGAAGATGCCATGAGAGAGCAGAGCCTTTGTTCAGGGCATCTCACAGCCTGGCAGAGCATGACAGGGAAACAGACAAATAGTGTCTCAAGAGACACCTCAAGATGGTGTCTCCTTGAGGGAGAGCCAGATCAATTCCTGCTCCATGGGTCCTGGAGCCCCATAGGTTAGAAGGGGACTGAGACACTCCACACAGACCACTCTGTGGCACAGCTCACAGGGCAGCTCTCTGAACTGCAGGAAAACCTGCTGCCCCAAAGAAATCAAGCGCAGAACAGGATCAGCTTGTCAAAGAGGTGGAACAAGGAGCACTAGAGACAGACAAGTCCTCAGGAAAGCCTTCATCTTCCCCAGCTAGGCATGCTGCCTTGAAGGCAGCAACATGGCAAGGCATTCACTCTCCACCTCTTTATTGGGCATCATGAAATTGGCCCATGGCAGGAGACACATGCCTGTCCTGTGCAGGGCTCTGTGTGCAGAGACTGCAATTCATGCCCTTGACTCCATGGCTTGTAGGGCAGCAGTTCTGCTGGTTGGGAGAGGAGAGGTGGGGGACTTGATCAGAGGAAAGTGTCTGCACAAGCAGGGCTGGCCATGACTTGCCCAAATCCACCCTGACAATTCTCTTAGTTCCTCTCATTCTCTGTCCTTCCCTGCTGCCTGGAGCTGTCCCTGTCAGGAGCTGTTCCTCTGTCCCAACATCTTTTCCGTGCCAGCACTCACAGAAATGCTTTGATATTATGATCTCCTTCCATCTTCTGTGTGCTCAGTTGTGCACTCCTGAAATCCCCTGGCTCTGGGCATTCGGCAGGGACATTTCTGTGCATACAGGTCCTGAGGGGTAGGTCGAATCAAACCTGATCCTCTCACCCAGAGTTCCCCGCTGGTGCTCCATGAGAAAATCTTCATACTGGTTGAGCACTGACCCTTGCAAGTGGCAGAGTCTCTGCGCTGGGCACACAGCACCCTGTGGCACAGGACATTGCTTTGAATTACAACCCTGAGATGATTTGAGAAGTCTCCTCCAGGCATCCCAGTAGTATTGCTCTGCTGCCAGAGACTTAGTGTGTCAGGATCTGCGTAGATGTCTCCAACATTGAGCCCTCCTCTGTCCTCCCAGTACACGCTCTCTATTATCTCTCCCGTTCTGCCTTCTCTCATCTCATGTCACCAAGAACAAGCAGTGCCTGGAGCTCTGCTGCTCTTCACAGAGGAGCTGCTCCTGGACAGAGCTGCTTCTTGGTTTTGCTGCCACGTTATCATCAGCCCACCCTATCTCAAGAGCCTTGCCCCACTTTGGAACAGTGGCCCAGCTCAACGGATGACTTGATTTCTCCTTTGTACTCTCTCCTACTAAGTGATGCTCACTGAGGTCCTGCAGCTTTTGCTCTGTTACTGAGAGTCACATTCCGCTATTATGTTGCCACCTGCTTTGTATGTCAAGATGTCACAGCTTTGAAGTGGGAGCATTGCACACACGTCGGTCTTGGCCTTTGTGAACGGGTTTCCCTATGATCAGTGCACACTCTGGGCCACATCAGAGGCTCTACAGCACATATACTCCTTAGTGAATAACTTGAGGCACAAACATCAGCAGATGGAGATGCACAAGCTCTCACAGGGCTGAAAGCTTCTTAGGAGAACTGGCATGTGGTAGGATCACTCAAACAACTGGAGGGCTACGATAGCACAGGCCTTCCTGAAAATTACCACTATTTCATTATTGGAGAACACTGCCATTAGAATGACTCAATCCTTTTTAGCTGATGAATCATAGAATCCTTAAGGTCGGAAGGGACCTTTAGGGATCATCTAGTCCAATCCCCTGCACACACAGGGTCACCAAGTGTGTTTGTGTTTTTTAAATGTTGAAATATATTTTTCACCTTCTCAGGAAGAGCTCAGTTCTCTAAACACAAGCATCCAGTGGCACTTGGAGAGTTCCCAAAGGATGTGAGGTAGCTGCATTGGCCTGGCAGCTCTCCCAGAGAACCTGCAGAAGAGAAGTGCCCCTTCAAGCTGCTCCTGGACAGAGGAGCCAGGGCACCTACAGTGGCACCATATATCCACCAACCTGCAATTGCATCTAATCACAGTTGTGAAAATCACTTTCCTTTTTAAAAGAGAGATGGCAGTCAGGCAGGCAAGCAGAAGGAGGGAAGGAAGAAGGGAAGAGAAGGAGGGAGGGAG